AACGTTTCGCAATTCGTTGAGTTCGACGATCTCTTTGTTGAGGAACTCGTTCTGCGTCTCGAAGGCCCGGACAGTGTCCCGGAGGCTCTCCAACTCATTGGTCTGCACTTTAATCAGCTTCGGAGTGGCCGTCGATTCGGTGCCGCACTCGTTGGCGACAGGCAGTGGACTAAAGCCCTCGCCTTTCTCCGCCTCCAATGTGTAGATCTGATGCGTGAGCGAGACGTACATCTCGTCCCGCGATTTCAGCATTTCCTGCAAAACACTCAACTCTTCGTTGCGTTTGTCGAGCTCTGTCTTCAGCGTCTGGTTTTGGCTGCGAAGCGACTCTTCGCGCGCTTCAGTCGCTCTCAATTTGATCCGCAAATCAGTCAACTCTTCGTTATTTTGACACAATTTGGTCAACAAGTCGTTTGCACTCATATTCGCGCCGTTCCTACAGATGTCTTCCAAGAGCTTCTTCTCGTCGCCGACGATCTCCAACTGCTTCTTCAGCAGTCGGATGGCCTCACGGCTGGCCTGCAGTTCGATCTCAACGGCCGACAAGTCGTCCGACAGTGAGACCAACTGCGCCTCCGAGACGCGACATTTGCCGCAAAAGGATTCACTGTTTCTATCACTTAATTTCAATAGACTTCTGATGGGACTCGAGATGCTGTCCACGCGTCGCGACGACTGCTGAGGAATGTCTACATTTCTGGCCTTCATTTTGTGGACAAAACTGCCGAATATCTTGTGTTTAGCGGACGGAGAGTCCGTCTCTTTAGGAGACATCGAGTTGTTCTCGCATTTCGATGATTGCGTCCAACTCTTGGACGAGTGCGAGGAGTGCGTGGATTCACTCATTTGGTTGTCGACGGACTGGTCGTAGAACACAGAACGCGAGCCATCGATGTCGGCGTCTATTGGGTCAGCGATTGGCAGACAATAGTTGGTTAGATGTGAACAGAAATGCGCTAAAAATGAGCTCAAAATACAAACCATTCTTACGATCATAACTGATGTCTTGGTTGATGTGATTGACGGCTAGTTTGACGCCAAACCTGTTCGCCAGACCTATGATGTACTTCTTGCGCAGCGCCTGCAGTCGTGTCAACCAATGGAGACACTGTTGGCTGTCGTGGGCCTCGAGTGTCACCTCTTTGGCCACCGAAATGATGGTGAAAAGGGTGGGCGTCTTGATGGTGAGCGTGGCTCTCCTGATGTCCACCTCTCCGATGGGCACCAAATCATCTCTCGTTCGGTAGTAATAGAGGACACAATTGGTTGCGTTGAACACAAACCACCGCTTCTTCATCGCCCGCAACGGTCCTCTGGAACTCAATTTGTGAAGATATCCCTCCAGAGGGTCGTCGCCGCCATCGGTGGCCATCAACTCATCCCCAGACGAGGCGATGAGTGGTAACTGATTGCCTGGACGACAGGCGCTGTCGCGGAGTCCATCAGCCGATTGGCGGGTCGTGTCTGTCGTCGTGTCCATCGATGGCAGTCGTGTCTCAAGACGTGAGTGGCATTGAGATGAGTGTCGTATTCGGTGTCCAACTGGTCATCACATCCGACGCCACAATCGTCTCAATACTCGACGTAAACATCAGTCAATCCATTCACACCTCTC